CCTCTGGGGAAATACATATAAAATTAGCTTTCACCCAGTGTGATTCTCATCTTTCAAGAATGAAATTCTCTCCAGTTTGACTGTTTTTGCTTGCTCTCCAGTGCCTTCAAATCCTTGTCATATTTTGTCCAAAATTTGTATTGCTATTTGCAGGAGGGTTATTCTGATACAAGATACTTTACAATGCCCTGGCCGGTGTGGTTCATTTGGTTGGAGCATTGTCCTGTTCATCAAAAATTTTCGGGTTCAATTCCCAGTCAAGGCACATACCTAGGTTGCGGGTTGGATCCCCAGTTGGGGAGTCTATCAGAGACAACTGATCGATGTTTCTCTCTGACATTGATATCTCTCTCTCTCTCTCTCTCTTTTTCTCTCTCTCTCCAAGCAATGAAAAATGTCCTTGGGTGAGGATAAAAAAAAGATACTTTAGTATTATTAGAATCAGAACCAATCTCTCTCTCCCTCTGTCTTTTAGAAAGCTAACAATACTGAGACAACCTGGCAGAGGCTTTTCTGTTAACAAGGGCATATGTCCTTTCCTGTCATCTCCTGGCTCTGAGTTCTTCCTGTAGCTCGCTTGGCTGCATTTCACAGTAAAGTGAATGTTTGTATTTTTTGGCTACTCAGCCTCTAAACTCCCTTCTTATGTTTGGGGAATCCTTCACCCTATGATTCTTGGAGTAAGTTAAGGCCTGCCTCCTACTATGGAAATCACAAATGCCAAAAACACAATTTCTGGGTCCAGCAGAGGGCAGGGTTACATGACCTAGGGCAAGGGCACGTGCCTAGGCACAGCCAGTCAGATGCATGGGGGATTGGGCTCAAGGCCATAGATCCAGCCAAGAGTCCTTTCTGGTGAGAGATGGCAGTGACCTCGCTCGTTTCTGGGGCTAGGCTTAGTGCTGGCACTAGTGGAAGAATGAGATGCGGTGTTCTTTATTCATCAGTTGCAACTTCCTGAATATCCTGCCAGTACGTTCTTTGTCTATGTAAGTCAGCCGGAATTGGTTTTGTGGATTACAAATAAGAAACTCGAATTGTCCACCTAGTGACAGTTAAATATCAGCAATCCCACCATGAAGAAATCTGGTTAGACAAATGTAAAACATACTGGGAGCTGACCCATCCCTGAGCCTGCTTCCTCAGGATATGGCCCCTCCTCCTTTTTGGCCCCTCCCCACCCCTCTCTGGGCTCTGGCCACAGACCCATCTGAATTCCTCCAAAATGTCTTGCCCTCTCTTTCCTCCCTGGTTTTGCAGCTGTTGAATGTCCTCTCCCTGGAACACACTTACCATTCCTCCCCTCAGCTGCCCACACTACCCCCTAATTGGTATCCCCTCTGCACCCCCTCTGTCTCTTGTCCAGTTCATTCTTCACACCACAGCCAGGGCCATCTTTTCAAAACACATGTCTGAGCATGCCACTGCTCTGCTTAAAATGTTTTAAAGCTTCTTTACTGACCCTAGGATAAAGACCAAATTCTTTAACACGATCCCCCAGGTAGAGAGACACTTTGGAGATAGTTGTTCAGGACTGGCTGGATAAAGATTGAGGGGACCAAAGGAGGAATCAAGGGTTATACGCAGATGCAGATTTCTGGTTTGGGCGGAGGTAGGGAAGCTCCCTAGTGTATTAACCTCTAACGTCTCCGAGGCGTGCAGCAGTCAGGCTCAGATCCTCCCTGAACAGGGAGCCGAGAACCCATCCCCCACCCACCCACTCACTCTCACTTCAGCCTGACATTCAGCTGCCTGACCAGCTAAGCAGAGGCGTTGGGTCTGAGCTGCAGCTCTACTTTTTATTTGCTGTGTCCTTGACTGAGGCACTTTCCCTCTTAGAGCCTTTCTTCTCTCATCACTGAAGCAGGAATAATACTTCTTTTCTCTCTATCTTTTGGTAAGGAATTATTGTCGCGAGAGGTAAAAATTCAAGCACGAGACCCACCCAAGTCGGGACCTACCTGGAGACGACCATCTCTTTATGAGTCTCAGCAATGGAATCTATTTGCCTTTTTGAAAAGTTACTCTGGTTTTCATGTGGAAGATGTATTAGAAATGGGTTGAGACAGGAAGGAAGGAGCCTCTGGGCCCCTCGACCATCAGTGCCCTTGGAGAAATGCGTGGGGAGGCGGTGTGTGTGGAGCGTGGAACAAACAGACCTTCCCTACACCTCGGTAATCCTGGATGCTCCACTGTCTACTGTAGGTGCCTCAGCAGGTGCTGTCGGCTCTGCCTCCAAATATACACGAACCTCTTCACTTCTTTTCACTTCTGCTGCCGCCACCCTAGTCTAAACCATTATCCACTGTCTCTTGCCTATAGCAGTTGGGGGATGCACTGCTTCTGCTCTTGTCTTGCTCCAAGACATCTCCTTCCAGCAGCCAGGGTGACTTTTAAAAATGTAAAGCAGTCACTTGTACTCATCTCCTAAGTCCTCCACTGGCTCCCCAACCTCCTTAGCCCCAACCACGAGCCCTGCGTGATCTTCACCACTCCTCCCCACTCACCCAAACCCAGGCACCCTGCTCCTGGGCTTCCAAAAGGCCCCGCTTCTGTACTTGCTGCTTCCTCTGTCTGGGTAGCTCTGCCCCAGGCTCTCCCACATGCTGCACACAGCGCTGGCTCCTCACTGTGGGCCTCAGGCCACAGGTCCCCTCCTTGAAGAGCTTTTTCTCAGTACACTGGCTCCCATCATGCTTTGTTTCATCATCATTTTATTTCATTCATAACACTTCTTACTGCCTGAAATTAGATTATTTATGTTCATAGAGGTCTCCTCAAGATTACTACTTTTGCATTTTTATTAATTTTAATTATAATAGGAATACATAATAATACTGTATTCCTGATGGGCAAAGCAAAGAGACTCCCTTCGCTTCTCTTCTCCCCTCCTAGATCCCTCACTGGAGTGACAGCTTCGTTTGTTCTGTTGGTCACTGTTTGTGAGTGCCTAGAACCATGTACGGCACGCTCGACAAACAGTTCCTGAATGAAAAGTAAATCAAGGGCCACGTTCCGGCTCTACTGCATGTCAGCTTCGCTTGGGAGCGGGGTGTTTGGAGGGGAGGTTGGAGGCCAAGGTCCAGACAAAGCTATGGCTTTGGGGCAAACTACTCAGCTTCTCTGAGTGTCAGTTTGCTCATTTATACAGAAAGGGAAAAGAGCATTTACCTCACAGAACTGTGAGCACCAGGAAGCGGCAGGCACACTACACACCCCCTCGTGAAGTTCGCAGGCCAGCAGGGGCGTACTTGAAGTCCTGCAGGTTGACCCCACAGGCTATCGATCTGCTCAGCACCCTGAGAAAGAACGTGAGAGCCGAGCTTCCAAAGCGGGCTGGGAGGAGCCATGCTCTGGCTCCACGCCTCTCTCCAAGAGCACCGTTTACCTGAAACCATCTGACATGTCTTCCTGGGCTGTTTGTTTTACGTGGAAATAATGTCAACATTACATCTTATATTGAGTCAAATAATGTTTTGGGCACCATTGGCGGGAAAACCACTGGAGATCATCTGGTTTGGTTGAACTCCTATTTTCCAGGTGGGGAAACTGAGGCAGAGAGTGGCAGGACCTGGCCACTCCCTCTTGGTAGGGGTCCCTCTGGCTCACACAGTGGCCTCTCCCCTCATCACACAGGACTCTGCTGTATTCCTCTTAAGATCCCCGGTTTTAGCAGAAACAGCAGGTGTCTTCCTCTCCTTCCCTTGTGGGAGTGAGGGGGAAGCCCAGAGGCCAAGGCCGGGAGGAGAGTTCTAAGCCTTAATCCACAGCCTCCTAGCTCCTAACATTGTCCAGACCCTGGACTACCCTGACTGCCTATCAGTCCCCCAAGCCCCCAACCACCGCCATCTGGAAATAATTACAGTAATTCTCCTGGGATATCTTTCCCCGACTATATAACAAGCATAGGTATCTGTTTCTGAGCATAAAAATTACAGGAGATTTTTACAGACCCACAATCGCATCGGAGTAAATGATAGCTTCCTTTCCTCCCATTAACAGGCCAATGTTAGGGACCTGTCAGGGGCAAAGAGTCAAATCCAAGAGTGAAAGACTCACATTGTCCCCCTCCACCTGCGAGGGAGGAGCAACCCCAGACAAAGCAGGGTCCCAGCCAGGATTTTGAAGGACACCAAGAGGCCTCCAGGGGGATGGGTTAACACTGACTAGGCCCCTACAGTGTCTGTCAGGCACTCAGCAGGGTCCAGCAACACACCTATGACCAATTTTGCAAGCTGATACTACTGTCTTTTGCTGTGTTCAATGCACACTTTTTTTGCCCAAATTTTTGAGGGAAACCTAAGGATGTGCATTATACAGGGGTATAATGAATACATACCACGGGTATAATAATCCCATGTACAATGCACACAAAACGTGGGTGTGCATTATGCCCTGCAAAATATAGGTCTCATACTTTACACATTTGGAGACTGGTTCTGAGAGAGCTGGTGTCCCAGGCCACCCCCAGCAGCCTGTGGAGCTGTGCCAGGGTGCTTTCCATCATACTAGCTCACCATGCCAGACTCCCAGGCACAGCAGGCCAGCTCTATGCCCTCTTCCTTATCTTCTCTTCTCACTGCTTCCTCTTTTAGGGCAGCCACTACCGCTGCCCTTGCTCACTCCCGTCCCCCTCCCACTGTCATCTGTTCCCCAGCATTGACGTTGTCTTCTTCTGCCCCCTCCACCCCTGCTTCCTGTCTCTGTTGGGTTGTTGGGTGTTATCTCTCCAGGAGGGTGGGGAGTTGGGGTGGGGGAAGGGTGGAGCAGAGGGCGACGGCCTTGCCAGGCACTCAGAGTCCCCCACCAACCCCCATCCGTATCCTGCTAGGGGTGCCGCCAGGAACTGGGGCTTGGAGTACGCGGACCCTCGGTTTTCACCTTCTGGAACACACAAAGAGCGCCCCTTATGTGCCCCAGGGAGCGGCCTGCGCACACGCACCGCTGCACCAAGACTTGCACACCACTCCATCCACACAAACACATTCTAACCGGCCCGCGCACACGGCGTGCACACGTCCCCGCACCAGCACACTCTCCCAGGCACACACGCGCACGTATATCCACCGCAGCGTGCGCCCTCACGTACACACCACATACACCACATGCGCGCACACGCACGCACACACATAGACGCATCTGGACACGCACCTGTGTAGACCCCCAAATGCCCTGCGGGCCCTGACGCCTCCAGCTGCCCTGGCGGCTGGCTGGGCGGCGCGCGCACACCCAGACACACGCGCACACTCCCGCACTGCTCCACGCCCCTGGCCGCGGCCTGGGTGCTGTGCTGCGCGGCGGGCGGTTCGGCGGGCGGTGACCCGGGCGGGGGCGGAGGCGGCGGCTGCGGCGGCGGAGGCTGGAGAGCGGAGGAGGCGGAGCAGGGAACCGGGAGCCTGCTGGCCGGAGCTCCTCCTGCCCGCCGGGGATTTTCCAGCCTGGGCGCCTTCGCCGCGGACCTCCCTGCGGCCGCCGCGGACCATGGGCGACAAAGGGACACGGTGAGTGCACGAAGCGGCCGGTTCGCTGCGTGTGGGGCTGACCTGGGAGAAGGTAAGGACAGGGGTTCTAGTCCACGCCCTGGCTCTGCGTTCGCGGTCACCTCCGAACCGCCAACGCCTGGCTCAGCGGTGCTCAGTTCTCCTCTGCCCCCGAGGTTTCCCCGGGTAGTCGCTGGCAGGGCCGTGGGCGGGGGAACGGGGACGCGAGGACCGGGCTGCCCCATATGGCTCATGGCTCCTCGGCGCGGAGACACACTCACACACACTCACTCTCTGACACTCAGCACTGGCCAGCAGATGCGGTCAGCCACCAGGGGTAGGCTGACACACAATGGCACACGCTCATGTGGGTACACCGGTGCACTCATCCACGGGCACACTCGTTTGGCACACACTGACATTCACTGCCACACACCGATCACACAGTGACACTGCCGTACACTCAGTGGTATGTACTTGTTAACACATTCTTGCCAACAGTCATGTTGTTGTACATAATGTGTATACCAGATGTGTCGCACTCCAACACGTCAAGTCTAACACACCCTTATGCTGCACACACATGTTGGCCTACACGTGTACACTGTCCCTTTTGCTCACTGTAGCAGACACTCTTACAGGGACACACACGCTGTCACCCTTATGATATGCCCACTTTGTGCTGGCACGTGTCACACTAACATGGTGTTCATGGACTGCACCAGCACTGACCCTCACGGACACAAGCCAGACGAATGCCCACACAGACTGGCGCCCCATGGTCACGAGCACTCAGCCCCTGGGGCTGCTGACACATGCTCTCTAGTCCCCACGGGTCACACGGTGGGAGAAAACCGCACCCTAACCACTCTGTTTCCTTTCCCTCTGACCTCCCTGAAGCCTGGCACAGCTGGCCAGGATCTGTTTTGAGCTGGGGGTGGGGAAGGGAGCCTGCCCCAAAAGGGAGAGGATATGCCCCTGAAATGGAAAATTGGGACAAAAAAAGGGAGGAGGGCTGGAGCTGGGGCCGGGTGGCCCCTGGGGACAGACCTGGTCAGATGCTCAGCCTTGTCACCCTAGCTCTGCCCCTGCCCTAGGTCTGCCCACTTCCTTAAGTTCTCATAGAAGCGTCTCCTGTACCCCCTCTTGCTACCCCTTCTGCAGCCCCTCCTGCACCTTTCCTTCCCATCCTCTCTCCTGTTCTTGGGCCCCATTGCTTCCTCCTCTCTTCCCCCCTCCCCCTCCCCCTCTCCTTGCTTCCAATAATTACTTACTGAGCACCTGCTGCGTACTAGGCACAGTGTGGGGATCAAAGATGTGTGCTGAAGGAGCAGATGGACCAGGGAGAAATGACCCTGGTGGTCACCATGTTTCAGGACCACAACAAAGTTATTTCCCACCCACTGCCAACTGACCCTCTCTCTCGGCATCATGAGAGAGGTCCTCCAGAGACTATTCCACTTTCCAGAGGGAGAAACTGAGGCTCAGAGGTAACTGGTGCTCCTAAGATTTAGAAAGGTGCTCCTAAGATTCAGGATGCTTCCCAGCCATCTTGACAGTTCTGCAAGGAGGTTAATTTTCCTCTCCCACTTCCTGGAAGAGGAACCAGAGCTCAGCGAGGTTACCTGACTTGCTTAAGGTCAGGAGGGGTCAGAGGCAAGGGCCTAGACCAGAGCCCACATGGTCCCAATTCTCTGTGACTGCTTGGCACTGCCTTGCCCCTGGAGGGTGCTGGGTTCGAGTTCAGCGTGGGGTATCCTGTTCTGTGTGTGGAGGCCCTGGGCTGGCGGGGGAGGCTTCCAAAGGTTGTGAGGTGTCTGCATCACCTTGAGAGCTGGTCCCCGTTGCAGCCAGCTGGCCAGCACTGTGACCCGGGACTCTGTCCGCAGTGGGAGAATGTGTGACTCTCTTTTCCACATCCATGTCCCTCAAAGCCGAGATCCTCCTGACCGTCGAGGTCAGACTTTCCTCCCTGCAGGAAATCAGCAGCTCTTGCTCTCCTTCATTCTCCTTCGCTGCTTCGGCGTCGGGGTGACTCAGCCCCTCTCAGGCCTCGGCTTGCCGCTCTCTGACTTGGGGAGGAGTGTCATCGGTCCCTGCTGCCATGGGTGGTCAGCAGGATGCAGACACCATGGGCAGTGAGGCACCTATTGGAGATGCAATGCTTGGAGGCAGGGCCTTTTCCCTGCTCTGCCTCTAACTCACGGGGGGACTTTGGAGACCTTGGGCATTGTCTCCATCTCTCTGGACGTTAGTTTCCCCGCCTGTAAATTGGAGCCATTGTTAAAATTTGCTAGGCTCTCCTTGTCTTCACTGAGCTCACTGGGCAGGGTAGGAAGTGCTGCCCGAAGCCTGGAGCCCAGGTCAGGCCGCACTCCAGCCAAGGGTAGCCCTGCTCCCCTCTCTGTCTTTCCTGCAGCCCTAGTTGGCCTCCCCCTCTCTCTCAGGCAGATTTCCTGATTAATTTGGAAGAGAAGGGCAGAGTCAATAAAGGGCTGTATCTTGCCTTGTTCCATAAACTGTGGGACTCTGCTTTATCTCGGTCGTAGACAAGGCAACGGCTAATACGCAGCCCTCTAAGGATCGGAGTCATCCATCCCTCCCTGAGCCTGGATTTCATCCCCTATAGGAGAGTGACCGTGGGAATTAGTCAGACACCGTCACTGCCCTCTAGGAACTTCAGAGTCAAGGGGGAAGACAGATGCCTGGATAGAACTCGTTATAAGACAGGAAGTGTACTGACTGCTCTAACACGGTGCCCTGGGAGGAGTCGTGCACCTGTTCAACACATGCTGACTGAATGCCAGGGCTGGGGGTTCAAGGTGAATGGCTCCCCTCTGTCCCCAAAGGACTTGGAGCAGAGCAGGTGATTATAAGGCAGGAAGACATGTACTATGAGAGGCTGAGGAGGAGTCCCCAACCCAGGCCCAGCGGCCACACGGCGAGGGAAGCTTTCCTGGGAAGGAGGTGGCATTGGAGCTACGGAGTCTCATCTGGAAGGATGAGGAGGCCAAGGGGGCAGGATCAGGGACCTCGCTCTGCTCCGCTCCGCTCCGCTCCGCTCCTGGCCGAGGGTGCAGAATGTGCGAAGGCTGGAGGCGTGAAGCAACGTGTGCAGCTGTGGGCTGGGCCGGGGATACTGGGCGAGCCTTCAGAGGTAAACACAGGCCAGCCATCAACCGCCTGGAATGCCAAGCTAAGGAGACGGGCTTTTCTCCTGCCTGGAAGGTGATTAAGAGAGGAGTGTGTGGAGGGGAGGGATGGAGCAGATTTTCATTTCAGAGGGGGGTTCTGGCAGGGGCGAGGAGGGTAGATGGGAAGGGCAGGTCTGGAAGCAAGGAGAGCAGTGGGGAGGCTGAGGAGGGGCCTGACAGAAGGCAAGCTCTGGCCGAAGGCTGTGGAGAGGATGGAACTGAGGAGCCGGAAGAAGGAGGTGGAGCCATCTAGCCTGACTGGGTGTCTGACGTGCACGACCTCCTCTGGTTCTCCCAATGATCTTATTCACATAGGGACTGCTGCTCCCATTTCACAGATGAGGCAATGCACTGAGAAAGATTAAGCAATTTGTCCACTGCATTTAGCCATGAGCTTCTGAACCCAGGCTCATCTGCCCACAAAGCCCCTCTGCTGCTCTGTGCTTTCACCCAGCAGGAGGGATTGTCTGCCTCACAGGTAGCCTCTCCCAACTCCCTGGTGACTCCATCCTCTAGTTGTGTTTCCCTTCTAGTTCTTGCTGTTCCTACTAACTCAATTGGCAACATGAAGGATCGGAGTCAGACAGCAGGAGGGACTTCCTAAGAAGCTGTCGGATGGAATGGATTTTCCTTTCCTACAGATGTTTACAAACTCTTCCTTTTTGGTGGAGGCGGAGGGCGGGTGTGATGGGGACGCATGGTCACCAGCTGTCTGAGCCTTGGCTGTTGTCTCTCTTGGCGGTTAAGCTCTGTGGGTCCCATCTTGGCTAGAACATGGGGAAATCCTGTGGCTTTGGCCAGGGTCACTTGTGAGGCTGCTGGGAACAGAAGTGTTGAACCTGACCCACTGTCTATGATCCCTGATTCTAGGCTGGCCTCCGGGCTTCCGATTTCTTCATGGCTTTCTCCCTTCCGAGTTCGGGCCTCCTTGCCTGAGACTAAAGCACGGGCTCTGGGGTCCTAAGTCATGGGCTGGCGACACCTAAAGTCTGTGGCAAGGGAAGGACACTAGGCTGGGAGTCAGCATGCCCTGCCTGAGTGGCTTCCTGGAGCTGCTGCCAGTATGACCATACCGACCATCTAATGAAGCCTGCGGGGGGCCGGGGGGGAAAGGGAGCAGTGTAGCGAGGAGCCAGACTGGAAGTTGAGGAAGATGCAGGGACACTTCTGCATAGACGGGTCAGGACCTGGGGATTTGAAACTCTTGGGATTAGAGATGGCAGTTGACTTGGGGAGGGTGGGTGACATGGTGCAGGGAGAAGGTGCAGCCTATGACGAGAGGATAGTTAGGGAGAGCTGGGGCCTTGGAGGGCCCCGAAGGCCAATGGCCTTGGCAGAAGGTAGGGAGAGGAGGGTGGGCACAGGGGAGTCTGTGTCCTGGGAGCCAAAGAAGCAGGGAAGGACCAATGGAGGAGGAGCTGGGTTAAGATCCCTGGGGTTTAGGCAGAAGGCACACGTTGACTTGGTGAGGGGGTTTGGAGGGGGTGGTGAGGACAAAGCCAGGTCCAGGTGCAGAGGAGAGGGGGAGGACTCTGTTGTTCTTTGGGCCTGGAGCTGGGGTGAGTGTGATGCCCTGGGAGGTGGGGCTGGGGGTGTGGGGGCCTGGGGTGTGAGTCTCAGCTGAGAACTGGAAGGGACAGTTCAGGAATGTGAGCAGTTCAGGAATGGGAGGCATGTCTGTGCTGACTCCCGAAAGAAGGGCATTGAGGGGTCTCGGGGAAGCATTCTGGAGGAGGTGCCCCCTGAGCTGGGTCCTAGGGCAGGAGGAAGGCTTAGGTGCAGTGGGCAGAAGGAAGAGCCTGTACCACGGTGCAGACAGTGGATGCA